GGTCTGATCTCTTCACTGCTCTGCTTGCGTGCGGAATGAACTAACCTGCTGTCATTCCCGCCTCCGATTTCACGTCGGCGACGCTTGCGTGGTAACATGTAACAATCGGCATTGCTGGCATTGATTGCGAGCGGAAAATCCCCCCAGGTAAAAGTAATAAATGTCGGGATTTTAGCTCAAACGAAATACTTAACTATCTCACAGATATTTTGCGACGTAGTCACGGATCCAACCACTGATGCATGCTAGTGCTTGAAATTAATGGGGATAATTATGCTACAAAGCTGTCGTGCCGGGCAAGGGGTAACGTTAATAGGTGCAATATTGTGAGGCCGAAGCGTGTAATTGCACATTCGCCACTCATGCGAATGGCGCAACAAGTTAATGGTCTGTATTGTCATCATCAGCCATGATCATAAATTCATTCTTATCATCACCTATCATCATTACCAATCAACAAAACGTGCAGCCAGGTAGGTGCGTGAACTGCCTCCCAACTTGTTTTGTGCAATATGCAACTGCAGTTGCAGCAGGCGCTTTGGGACAGCTTATGAAGGTGATTGCCACGCACACAGACGTTCTTTCTGTCACATCGTCGTTGAAGTTGCGGTGGTGCTATCACCCTCAGTGTTGTCGTTTGCGCCTCGTGGCGCACGCGTGGCACACAACCATCAAGTGGTAGGCGGCGTTGTGCTTGCGAGCATTTTTCACAATCGTCATCAGTATGATCAGCGTGGTAGCGCCAGCAGTGACACCTGGTGGGGAGGCTGGGCGAGCGGACAGAAAAGATAGGCGACCCTTTTTGGCGTATGACAGCTGGCGCGAATGGTCTCAGTTAAACAACGATCGATGGCAGGCTGATAGGAAGCTCAGCGTTTCCCGCTACGGTGGATGCCTCTTCCAGAACGTCTGTAGACACCTTGCAACAAGGGAGGGGAACTTCCAGAACAAAACTGTTTATCCAAAAGCGAAAGTCAAAGGAAAGATCAGATCAGGTCAACAAAGAGAATTGTCCAGCAGCAGCCGATTCCCGGCTCACGCTCCGCTCATTCACACATGCACCTCGTTCATAAACAGTCGTGATATGGCGGTGGAACCATCGTTTGAGTCTCTCACCCTATTCCAAACAATGAGTGCGTCAAATCGTAATCCCCAAAACAACAGACGGCGCTATTTCAGTTTACATCATAGCCGCCCAATTTAGAGCCCGCCCTCTACAGTACATCTTCAGAGCAAGACTGTGCGACAACTATACAGCAGTGTCCAGACCCCCTTTGTTTACAACTTCCTTCTGTTTCCATGTAGTCGGCCTGGCGCCGACATCACTCGAGTGTCCCACAGCTGGCCAGGACGTCGCCAACCCCGAGCCAGTTAACTTGCCCTTCGCCCCACGCAAAGTCAAAGCGAGATATCTCCTTACTGTTGTCCTTTTGAAGCCATAGATGCACGCCGCCGAGGGGTCCCACTTTTCAAATTTCCCGCTTCCCCTCATTAAATGATGCCACCTGCCACTTTGACGCCTCTTGACTCCCGGCGAAACGAGAATTCTTCTTTCGTTCACCACTTTACATGAAACTGGGCGGGCGGCCACATTCCTCGCAAAACCGCAACTTGCCTCCGAGGGTCGCTCCCAATACATAGCAAGCTCTGCCTTCCGTACCGCAGCAGCTGTGGCCTACGTATCTGTTATCTTCCTGAAGTCGCAACCGACACGGCGCCTCCGGGGAAGCTCTTTGTACACACACGGGCCCCTCCCGACGCACAAAGATGGTGGCTTGACTGTTTGTCCTTCAAAGGAGGGGTTCCTCTGCCGCACCGCAGTTGAACCACTGCCGTCGGCGCCGAAACGTGTGTGACAAAACCATTACACGATTCATACACGTGTCCCGTGCGCTGCCCGCTGACTCATCAAGCGCCGGAAGTGAGGCTCGGTGAAGTTAACTGTCGCCGTCTTGCAGCGGGTCCTAGGGGACGGCGCTGCGGACCGTATCCCGTGGGCCCCTCGTGTTGAGTCGTAGAGTTGGTGGACGCCACATTCGCATTACCTTGTTTGTTGTTATGTCGTAGACTGTATTAAAATAAACCTTAAGGTGGTATTTTAGCGTGTTGAATATGTATTAGATTCGGCTGGTGATATCATCGATGTAAAAATGATTGAGTAAATGTACGTGATGTTTGGTTTGGTGCGACCGCGTCTGCTGCGTCCGTTTGCTTTGAGAACATGTTGCCTCATTTCCAGACACGACATGCCCGACAAGGTGAACCAAACGTAACCATCTTCTAAGCTCTTGCAGAGGCATATGTTCTTGTTTGCTTTGACAGATACAGACAGATGGCCTATCTATGACGGAATTGGTGTTAGGCGTTCGGGCAGTCAAGTGTCATAGTATGTTTTCAGAACTGTTGCAAATAGCGGTTCTTTTTACGCTATGTATGCTTCAGTTCTTTATATGACGCTTTATTTACTACATTGGTTGAGTGTATTTTAAGCAAGTTTCTCTTTCCACTAAGCTTCTTCAACAAGCTTTGTCGGGCGATTGCAGAGGGTGATTTTTACCTAACGAAATGCACCCCTCTGACGTTAGTATAGCGTATCGTAATGACTCCATTACATTGTTACGGTGTGTTGAAATGTACACAAGTCGAACATGGTAAGAAAGAAGAAAGAACGCCACTGAAGTGGGAGAATACCGTAGGATACAAACTTTCATTTTCACACTTTACTCAACCTGCGATCGACCATCGAAACCTGCTATATAATCGGATGTGTGATTCACAACCAGCAAGAGTGTAGTGCTCGTGAGAAGACTGGGCACGTGACAAGGTAAGACGTACATTTATATCCATTGGTAGTCGTTTGAAACATAATGCGAACATTCTTGAAACACTGTGGTGGCCTGTCTGAATGAAGATATAATTCACAGAATAGATAGGTGGATATGAAAACATAAAAGTGAATCATTGGGACGTGAAAACATTTTTATGACCCACCTGATTCTCTACGGAATGGTGTTCTTGTTGATCATGCCGGAAACGTTGACGTCAAGCGCAGTGAAGCGCAGAAGGACCCTCAGCCTATGATAGTGCTACGAAAAATTGAGGTGTCTTACTATTATTGTGTCTGCATTTATATTTTTCGTAAACAGGTTTACAGGGTGAAAAAGACCCATGTAGCAAAAAATAGGGAAAACGACTAGCCAAAAAGTAGACAACTCACGTCAAGGCCAGAAAAAGTAGGCGCACTTGCGTGAAAGAAATGGCATCATTTTTATTTCAACAATTTAATGTACCAGACCTTGGGCAAAATGCAAATAAGTACGGCATGAACACATTGAAATTCTCGACTTTAATAATTTGTGATGAATGATGGGGTGGCTTGCAAAATAATGATGTTTAACGTCCCAATTATCAGAGATGCCGTAGTGGAGGGCAGCGCGAATTTCGACCAGCTGGGGTTATTTAACGTGCACATTATTCTACGAACACAAGTTTCAAGCATTTTCGCCTACATCGAAACTGTGGGCGCTATGAAAGACGTTTGATCTCGCGACCTGCACATCAGCAGCCGAGTGCCTTAGCCAATAGACCGCCGCGGTGGCTTGCACTGCTGCAAGAATAGCGTTCTTTGCGCGCCTAGTGTTTACGTTCTTAAAATGGCTTGATGCCACAGCTTTCAGGCGATAAGAAATATGAATCCGGCATGAGTAGCACTGAAATTTAAACTGGTAGCGTTGAAACATAAATTGGAGTGTGTATTTTCACAATAATTTCATGCAAGATGCCTGTTTAAATACGAGCAGCTAATATTCCCGAGTGGATGTTCGATATATGGCACATTCACACTTGAGAAGCGAAAACAAAAACGCTGGAGACTCTGCAAAAGTAAGGCCACACGCATCGAAAACGTTAGCATTCGTTCGTCCCCTCGTACGTGCCACCGCCACCTTTGACACTTTGAAAATTCATTCGATTTGCCCCATTTCTGAGCTTTAAATTTCATACCGAATTCCAGTTATGCGTGCAACGCGCTAGAAGGAAACAGTTCGCACCTTTTCAAACGTCCTTTCGGAAATACACACGCAGAGACGCCCTGCCGCGGTGGTCTAGTGGCTAAGGTACTCGGCTGCTGATCCGCAGGTTGTGGGATGAAACCCCGGCTGCAGCGGCTGCATTTCCGATGGAGGCGGAAAACGTTAGGCCCGTGTGCTGAGATCTGGGTGCACGTTAAAGAACCCCAGGTGGTCGAAATTTCCGGTGCCCTCCACTACGGCATCTCTCATAATCATATGGGGCTTTGGGACGTTAAACCCCACAAATCAATCAACACGCAGAAACGACACGAGAAGACAAATTGGCAGTGCTGGCGGCACACACAACTTGCTAAGCAAGATACGTTCTGGCATGTAGACTCGCTGTTGCTGCACTATTTTCTACTTCCAGTGTTCTCGGCTATCGGGATCCAAGCAAAGCTCTCGAATAATGCATCCTTGTCGATGCCGTGATCTTTGTCGTACTGCGCGATTGCGCCGATGCGAGCTACCGCTGACGCCTTTGGCGCCATGTTGAAGTTACAGTCAGTTTCAGCACAAAGTCCTGTTATCTTGTCCCGTGTACCCGCGCTGTTTTGTACGATGATTACAGGTGCTTGTTTACGAAACATGATTTGAGCCAGTTCAGCCGAAGCCGTCACATATAAATTGGTCTCCGACCAATCTTTTTTTTTTCTTTCATCAGCCTGGCGGTGTCGTTTTCCGTCCTCATAGGTGGCTACGCTAGCGAATTTCCGGTGAGTTCTGCCTCTTTCGCTCCCATCGAGGCCAAGTGTGAAGGCGCATTTACTGAGAAGTGACACAATAGGTAATTCAATCACTAATCATGCGTTGCGTTTCAATAGGGATTTACAATTAGTTTGAAAAATAATAGCGCTCACTAAATCTTGTGTGGAAACTCATGCCATTGGATGACCTTGCTTACTATGTTGCAGCAGCGCAGCCAATGCATTTTGTGTCATGAAAGTGTTAAATTCAATTTCCCAAACTAAAACCACACCATTGCCACCACGTTTGATAGTAGATACTCAATTGATAGTGAACTCGAGGTCACTAGATGTACATAATCCAGCAAACGTTGCCGAAAAAATAGTCAACGTGCCTTTTCACGACGCCGGAAAGAAAGTAGGTAAAAGAAACAAATCAACCGAGTATGCGCAAACTAGCCACACTTGGACACCCTGAGGCTGACTCTAATGACAGACAGTGATTCTGGTCATCTTGGTACAAATTGTCACAATATTGGCATATTGTGCACTGAACTGTAAAGTGCGGCATTGTAAACAGATGACCATTTTTCGGGGCTTTGAGTCGCCGGGTGAGCAATTTTCGTGAACCGTTGGCGGCGTCAGTTGAAAGCGAACATGGTCCAAGATCTGCCAAAGAGGAAGTGTAGGAAAACGGGCCTATTCTATGTGACACATAAGTTTGTATATTAAGACGTGTAGTATTGGGTGACATGCAATATGCAGAAGCACAAACCACGGAAGAAGTGCTCGCGTTGTTCCCCTGCGGAAAGCCCGCCCAAGCGATGCATTTGGAAATATTCCTGCTGCAGTATCTTCAATAAAACCCACCTGGGCTTCTAGAGCAGCGTGACAACATACATGAAAGTTGTCTCAGCAACTTGCACAAGAGTTATCCTGACGTACCGGCATGGTGAAAAAGCAGTGATGACATATAATTGCGCACGCGAGAAAGGTACAGTACGAATTGAGGTCAGTGCTATAAGGCTGGGCATTGCTGGACCGCAGGAAATTCCAGAGGATGTGACATCTGCGTAAGAGGGAAGAACAAGGATTTAACAGCTTTTCTCGAGAAACAACAAAATGAAACAGATAGGGGCACAATATCGCCCACCTTTTCAGCAGGTTATACGGGTGTCCTATCTCATTCTAATGAGTGTTGAAAAAGCCACCGATGCACTTTATGCCAAAGCGACACAAGTCATGTTGTTGACTATGGCGTTGAGGAAGTCAAGATACTTTCATGCTCTGTTTAATTGTTTAGTTAGGCAACATTAAGTAACCAGCATCAAAAGCAACGAAGCTGGATGGAATATTCCAACTAGAAAGTTCTATTCGCCTCGCGAAACGTCCGATTAGACTGTTTCTAGCTTTGTACTTCTAGACAGGAGTGTTTTTCTGTTCCTGCAGACACCTTCTAAATACAAAACGATACCACGTGACATGCAAACTTGCGTTCTGCAAATGTCGTGGCCTGTAATGTCTGGCCTATATGGCTTAAAAGGCGACCGGAGAACGATGATCCAGGTGGCGTTCCGATGACGAGTCTGTTGCTCGCGACAGCGCACGCGATAACCACTCCGTCTGCTTACCACTGCCACGAACCTCCACGGGACAAGCTCATAGTTAGTATTGATAAACTCATTGAGTACTGTAAGAAGAGCGTGCAAGTGGTTGTGCTACTTCGTAATTTTGAATAGGAAATTCTTTTTCGCATAATTCAACAAGACTTCAGGGATGTATTGCCGTCACAGAGAAGTTCCGTTAACGGGCGTCCAAGCCACGAGTGCTTTGCCCGCGACATATTTGTATGCCGTGCACGCTATCTACTGCGCCATGGCGACACACACTGGATTCTTTAGAAATGTGCCTTTTATATAGCACACGTTCCCCATGAAGTGTTCTTGGTCGACAGGGTGGTGTTGTCCTCTGGGAGTGATAAAGTAAACTAATTTATTAGTACTGTAGCGTTTGTGATTAGCCCCTGCAACTCGTCGTTGCTGTTCATTGTGCGTCCGTCCGGGCCGGTGCGTTTTCAATAGGAGAAGTGCGATCTTGTGAAAATTGTAACAAATCGCAAGGTGCCGACCTTAGACCATGCGTCGTTTTTAAAACGTTGGCATTGCTGATAGCACTCATTCATACCAAAGATAGCTCTGCAACGTCTGCTCCACGTCTGTTCTACATGGCCTAGCTCTAACCTCTCGTTTCCCACTTAAGCATACCCCGAGAAATATCGCCTCCAAGCTACAGAGTAGACAACAGGCGCGTATCGTGTCCCTGTACAAAATCTTTCGTTAAAACACGGTGCGCGACGACTCCGTTAGCTAAAGTTCCGCATTCGACTTGCGTTGCTCTTCTAGCTGTCACACTGCTGTCTCTGATTACGCTCTCACTGTGAATTGCTACAGCTGCCACAATTGTTTGTTTAATCACCGATTATGATAGTCACAGAAATGGATATGCGTCACCAAGCATGAACGTGTGGGTTCCAGGTGATATAAATGTGCAGCAGACATTCAATTACTTTTGTCGGGAAAGATTTACTTTCGTGTTATGCCGATTACTATGACGAACGGATCAATGGAGTTTTTTTGTATTTTGTAGGCTTCTGCAGTATCCAAAAAAGCTCTATTGTACGTAATAGGTAATTAGGAACTGCCTGAGGAAACGTTCCGCAAAGCGATCACTAAACTTCTCGCCATAATATTTAGCCAGATTTGTTGAAATGGTAGTTAGTTAATAATTCTTGCCTAATTAGGCATAAAACAGTAGTACGACTTGTTCACATAGTAGCCAACAATTGGTATTCGGTCGTATTGTCATATAGTGCATGGGCATGTTCTTAATTATGGCTAGAGTTGGCGAGGGCACCCCGTATACATATCTGAGACGGAAGTGAACCTATAGATTCACAGCATTAACATTAAAATCCGTTTATCTTGAACGAGTTGGCTTCACCTCAATCTTAGGCGATGAAGGAGAAAGCGGCTTGATGATCTTCACCAGTCCACAGTGCCGGTTGTCCTGGTTCGAAAGCAAATGTAGTCAATAAATAGTTTGTGCACGGGAAAGCAATGGTAACGCCTGGCTCAAATTGTACATGATAGAAAGTTACAGTTGGCTCATTTCGCACCATATCAACTTTGCGAAGTTGATGGAGCGACAGATGGCACTGAAGTCGTTTTTAGAAACGGTGGGTGAACATCGTTATGTTAAGAAGGCTTGATTCCCGACAAGGTAGGTGGATATCGCAAGTACACAGAGATCAGCAGAAAGTGATTAAGTACAAACTACACACCGCTGACGTTTTTTACCTCTAATTCGTCTTCAAAGCATTGCCAGGAGTAGTTGCGCCGAATTCGGGGCTTTTTAGGGCAACTTTCACAGTGTTTCTGTATAAAAACGAAACAGTAAAATAATCAATGAGAAACGACACGCTTAGGCCCGCGATCAATGCCAGCTATGAGAATCTTCAATAGAAGTAAACTGAATTGCAAAAAAGTTAACGCACATTCTCCCCCATTTTAGTGGTTCAGCAATTCACAACCTAAATTTAGGAGAGGTGGTGATAGAATGAGCTAGACATGGGCAATGAAAACAAATAAAAAACTTAGGGTTCTCTACGACAACGACATCTACAAGAAGAAGAAGACAGTTGACCCCGCACACATGTGGAAATCGGTGCTAGATCGAAGCTCCACATGACGTAGTCGAGCACCGTACTACCTCGCTGAGCAACCGAGAAGACGAGTCCAAAGCTAGCCAAAGTCTGTCGCAGACGCTTTGTATCGTTATAAGTTCCCCACTTAAAGGGGTTTTGAAGCACTTTGCAAACACAACTCACAAAATGCAGTCCAGTGGTCGAAGCTACAGTCAGCATGTGTGCCTAACACTACAGTGCAGCACACAGCGCGTAATTTATCATAACTTTATGTATGCGTGGTTTCTTTATTTCATACTTCATTTAAATTTACTGGTCGTGTGGCAATGCAGAAAACTTATCTTCCTGGAAAGCTTCTTGAACATACTTTGCGACGTGACTCTGAAAGGTAATTTTTGTACAAACTTTGAAAATATTGAAATAGTGGTCATACTGGTATTACGCGAGAAGGGCATTTGAAACTTTGCCGCTTGATTATAAGTTTCTCATTGAAAGCAGTCAGATAGGAACATCAACAACTTGACAAAGACAGCTAGAAATCAAGCACTCTTCTCTCGACAAAAAAAAAAAAAACAACGCCCGGCCTGCGTGCAACGGGCAGAACAATCACAGCGAAAGCTAGAAGAGTGGCCTTTCAGAACCTTTTCTAAACACTTTTTTGGGTAACTGCTACAAGCACACTTTCTGGGCACTTAGAATGCTATAATCATAATTTTTGTGTAGTAGGCCAGAATTCACTATGCTATATTTCGTCATTCTTCGGAAAGCGTGGTATTCGCTACACACTAACTAGAAGTTTTGTGCAATTTTTTATCAAGTGACTGACGACGATGAATAATTATGGCTGAAGTGCGTAAGCACCGCAGTTAATGGGTGATCAAGAACAAGTTTTATAATATGTTGCAGCATTAGACAATCGAATCGTTATACAGTTCGCATTGTGTGGCGCCTGGTAGTTCTTTGATGTTCTAGAACACTTGACTACTCATATTAACGCTATTCCTTTCTCGACATCAAGCCTGCCTAAGACATGTTGAAAAACGATTTCCATGCACTGGCGTGGCTCAGTAGTAGAACACTGGAAGGGCACGCAGTTGACCCGGGTGGATATCCCAACGTGTCCTTCCTGTTTTTATTTACACAGTTTTTTTATTACTTGCGATACTCGTTACGGCCACCAGCGGCAGCAGCGGACAACTACGCCACCACGCGTGACCTGTGGTTTGATGTCACGTACGCCAATATCAAGTACGTCACAAAAGCACGTGGCTAGAAGCACCTTAAAATGACATTTTGTGTTGCTTACAAATTAAAAACTGGTTATACATACAGGTTACCTACAGGTGATAATATGTGTCGTATTCATTCTCTGCTTTTTTCACCATTTAAACGTAAAAAAACTGAGGTATATTCATGAAATGAATAATAAAAACTGTCAAACAGTGGGATGGTTCAGTGTTACCATGAATCTACCCGGACATTCCCCCCTCACGCGTGTAAATGAGGGACTAAGTAATGTACAGTTACATAAAATGTCTATTGGTGATCGTCAACAGCGTCATCATTACCGCCGTGACATATAGTGGGTACCTTGAATGTGCTGTGCCGCGATGCCAGAAAGAGAATGTGTGATCTAGAATGCGCTTCTTCTTCATCATTCTCAGCGTCATCGTAATCATCATCGAGGGACAACGGAGGACATTGCTCGATTATAAGGAGCTTTACCCCTAAAGAAAGTGTCACTCTGAGCACAGAAGCTCTCTGGAGTGCTTTCTGTTTTGTATAATAAGTACCCAGTGCTGACATGCGCCGTAGGTGCTACATGCAGTACACTATGCATACTAAGCTGATCAGGTCTTGTGCTTTGTGTTGGCACGTAAATGAAGTCATCTTGAAAGCGGAACAAACTAAAAGAACACTGAAAACAAAAAAGGGCACCTCACACAATAAAGAGGCCCTGAAAAAGTTGTTCAAATAACCACGAAATAGACTCACCTAAAGAGCTTATTGCCTCAATAATTCAACGCCGCAAAAATTTTAAAAATCCGCAAAGTAGAAGCGGATGGGTTACAAATATTTGACGCATGCTGCAATGTTATTCTCTCTTCCTTCGTGAAGACGAAAGCGCTGCGGCTAAGCATGGGGGATGACATGGGCAAAGAAAATGCGTCAAGCGTGCCTCATGACCTTGAGCACTTTTTCCTCTTTGAATACATGGCCTTTTCAGTGTTATCATACGCGAACGCATGGACAAGTCACGGACTACCACGGCATATCCATGTGAAACCGAGAGCGCCATGTTGAAATCAGCCAATAGCTGATAGAAGGCTTTCCACGACTGATTTTGAGCTTCATACGTCTTTGTTAAAGAAGAGAAAGGAATCCTCAGCTGACTTTGCTTATTCATTGCAAATTGTATGCCCCGTGCTGCACTATAATCTTTGGCTCGCGCGTTCTCGGGAGCCTCTACTACCCATCGGCAGAGTTTTCTGACCATGCTCAAAAAGTGCTGCCGAGCCCCCTTAAACCAGGAAGTTCGATTCAGTAGTCCTCTAAGTTTCATCAACTCGTAAACATAGACATTTCTGCGTTTGCTGATCTAGATGAATAGATGGTGCCGGGCCCATTTTTTCTTTGTCTATTGGATACGAACGCCATTTTCCTGCGAAACATCAAGTGCATTCTATCAATCGTCAATCCTATATTGAAATGAAAGACCAGGAACTGAGCTGTTCAGATAACATAAGAACAATCCCATTATCCTTGAACAAATTTTACTTTTTAGTATAAGAAATGAACGAAAGCTTGTCACTGAAAGGAAGCTGGTTACCAATGTTGGTCTATACCTTTCTTAATCCTACAGCGTGTCGAAGTATTCTACCAAGTGATTAACTATTTCAATATTTACGCAAAGATAAGTACAGCCCTTACCAATATGTATTGCAGGCTTCCTGATTCTGTGCAACCACTCCACGCACAGGCCGCTGCACACTCCTTTGTCTCCTGCAGACCTTGGTCCGTCCGCTTGAGCTGAAGAAATGAAAATACTTCAAGACGCGGCGGAGATTATGATATGTTGGAATTTAACGTCCGAAACTATAATACAAATATGAGAGACGCCGTAGTAGAAAGCTCCGAAAATTTTGACCACCTGGTGTTTTAACGTGCATCAAAATCTGAGCTCATGGGCCTGTAGCATTTTCTTGTCCGTCAAAAATACAGCCCCTGCAGCTGGCATTTCATCCCGTGGCCTTGCAGTTAGCAGTAGAACAACATAATCACTAAAGCAGCGCGGTAGACGCTGCGCAGAGCAGCAGTGGAATCTAGTCTACTACAAGCTGACTGCGTCTTTAGCATGATGCAGTTTGCGAAAGTTTTCGACGTCGGGCGTTACGATTATTGGCGCGTGTTTGTAGAATAAATCAGGCCTGTGAGACTGTTCACATTTACAGAACTGCCTAGTGCAAATACTTCAGCCGACATGTAGGTGGAAGGTTAGCATTCCTGCTGCTTCCTGTCAGCGCTTTAATTTTTGCAAACAAGCTTGCGATAATTATATTAACTCAGTCATTTAGATGACGGCGTCTTCTCTGTCTTTCAGCCTGTGTAATCATTCGCGAGTGCACTTGGGTAGCATACTGATATTTATGGTGTTAAGTGATGACGTGGTCAGAACGCATTCACCACATTTTCCACTTGATCAAACACAAAAAATTTCGTATAGTGAACCTAAAACAGTGGTCTGAAGATCACTTGAGCTAGCGACCCGAAGCCACGAAATTTAGTTTCCCGACGAGTCGGGATGCTGAAGAAGCTTGAAGGCTCTGTCGAGGGGTGTTAGCTAGCATTATCATTTGGAAGCGTTTCGAACACTTCATGTGTGGGTATTTTCTTCGAAGGGTATTATGCGTCAGGTATTGAGCAACATATCGATGCTGATCTCCGAAATGGCTGAAACCAGGACACTAATATTTAAATCTAGAATCTTTGTTCCGTGGTTGCTTTTATACATATGATGACAGCACAACGTGTCTCAGAAAAAAAAATAGTTTTTGAGAAGAGTAAGGCCTGCGAAGCTCATGAACAAACGTAAATAAATAAAAAAGGAAAGACAAAGAGTAATTTGCTGGTTTGGCTGCCAACGAAAGGTACGTGGCTGGCATGTTTGAAACCCCTGACTTGTAAAGGTGTCATTTTAGCAATGGGCGTTGTTTATTACCAGAGTGATTACCATGGTGTTTGAGAATAGAACTTAATAAAAGGAATTCCAAGAAGCCAAAGCGTGTTAGTATCCACTGCTGTGCGAAAAAGAGTTACACCAATGTTGTGTACATGGACTGCGTTCTCCAGCCACCTTGCTACTTTAATATCATTTCAGGAAAACTTTCCGCAGATCCTTAAAGACAGAAGTGCACATTCACTGAGAGCTGAATTCACCACTATTTACGCCCGCCTTCACCGTAATGGACCATCATTCGGTTGAACACAACACCGACTCCACATGGCTAGCTCACCATATTTCTGGGCGTCTGCACGAAGTGTACGGGACAAGTGAGCACATGAGCCCTGGTCAAGATGTCCTTGCAATCGTTGCAAAAGCAGTGACCGCACACGGCGTGCCATGCCAGTCCCGCGAGGTCGCCGCAGCGCAAGCACTGTGAACCTTCGGGGGGTCTCTGCTTCAGGAGAATGCGCGTCCGGTCTTTAAGGTCAGGGAAGTCACGCACCGTAACCTCGAAGGTGGCCATGCTGCCTTATTTTTATTCCATCCAAGGCACCCAGGATATTCAGCGTCTGCTAGGCAAAAACTAGAATTTACATCCGTCATCATAAGGATGCTCGAATAGGCGCAGATCCTTTCTGTGTCCAGCCCGGACGAAACTAACTACTCAAGCATAAAAGTCACTATGTTTTTAAGCCTTCCCGATGCAAATGATTTCGGGTTAATTTGTTTAAAGAGGCTTAGTTTATGGGCCCTACCAAGCTTCACGTAGGTCTGGGCCCCAATCGCACATTTGACATAGAAGTAATAAGCGTTAAAGCGTGCACTACTGGGTACGCTTTGCCCTAAACCTTTATTTCCGGCATTCTAGTGTGCGTTTTATTATCTTCACGTCAATGAAAACAATGCCCACTGCGAGGCTATAGTCACGGTCTTTATTCTACCGGTTGGCGTCAATATTCTCGAGAAAGGAAAATAAAACCATTATTCTGTGAAGTAGCTGTTCCATCAGAACCCTTCACAGGACGCTGACGTCTTTTGTCGCTCTCGGCGAGCGTTTGCCTTAGAAATTCGCTATATTATAATATCAACATACAAAGGCGTTTTTGGTTTGCATGTGGTATGCTATTGACTCGAACATGATGAATTGCTCTAACTGAAGCCGCATTAGAATTATGTGCGTACAATGACCGGCATGCAGAACGTGCGCAGGTCATTGTACACACAAAGTATTATTTGTCTTTAGTGTTCCTTTAACAGGAACACTACAGAAAATTAATGCTTCATCTGAAAGTGAAAAGATAATGTTTGAGAACCTCTACAACCACAATGTCCTACTCAGAAAAAATTCAGTTATCGACAAAAATAAGGTAGGTGCAGGGCACGATTAGTGCCCCCAGAGAGGCATTGCTGGAAGTACAGCCCGATGAGGTGAATTGTTTAGTAAGAACGATGCCCTGCAGTACTCAAACTGCTCTTGACATAAAAGAGCAGTGTAAAGCCGTACACAATGAAATTAGAAGGAACTTGCTCGTTTTAACTTGATTCATGAGGAAAAAAAAACAATCCCCGTTGGCATTAAAAACGGGGCAAGCCCCGTTTTTCCCTCCGGGTTTCGCTCGGCAAGGGGTCAGTAGAGCTTTAATTTGGTCTAGATGGTAGAACATTCTAATCACTAGCGCACTATTTATCCCGTTCTCTTTGTGGTTTGTCTATCGTGCATATTTTTTTTTTTTTTGCGAAACTCGATCAATATGTCAGGAAAAGTTTCTGTATATGTTCCCTTCATATAGAAGAGTTGTGCGTAGATAACAGTTACAGCTATACGGCGAAGGCACATTGTGTTCATTCAGGCAACGTGCCTAGTGTGTCGCACATGAGGAACACAAGAAAAGAACATGGGGCCACTGGCAATCTTATCTGAGGTGCAGTGAAAAAAAATGCGATGAAACAAGCTACCACTTGTGGATAGTACATGCAGAACCTTCACATTTCGCATAATTTGTTCTAGAACACTTACACCGACAGTGCCTACGTAGGATGACGTGATTGTATAAGGCCGCATAAACTTAATGAAAGTAATGTACAACGAAAGTAATGTACAACAACCTCGGAGAGGAGCAGCGCTTCGAGATAGGTAATAGTGCACTTGAAGTCGTAAAATACTATGTCTACTTAGGGCAGGTAATAACCGCAGAGCCTAACCACGAGATTGAAGTACCTGGAAGAATAAGAATGGGGTGGAGCACATTTGGCAAGCCCTCTCAACTTATGACAGGTAGATTGCCACTATCCCTCAAGAGGAAGGTATATAACAGCTGTATCTTGCCGGTACTTAGCTACGGAGCAGAAACCTGGAGACTTACAAAGGGGGTTCAGCTTAAATTGAGGACGACGCAGCGAGCAATGGAAAGAAAAATGGTAGGTGTAACCTTAAGAGACAAGAAGAGAGCAGAGTGGATTAGGGGACAAACGGGGGTTAAGGATATCATAGTTGAAATAAAGAAGAGGAAATGGACATGGGCCGGGCATGTAGCGCGTAGACAGGATAACCGCTGGTCATTAAGGGTAACTAACTGGATTCCCAGAGAAGGGAAGCGGGTTAGGGGGAGACAGAAGGTTAGGTGGGCAGATGAGATTAAGAAGTTTGCGGGTATAAATTGGCAGCAGCAAGCACAGGACCGGGTTAACTGGCGGAACAAGGGAGAGGCCTTTGTCCTGCAGTGGACGTAGTCAGGCTGATGATGATGATGATGATGATGAAACTTAATGAAATATCTTGTAACAGGAAAGAAACGCTCAACTTTATGCCGATTTTGATTCAGCACTTTCGATAGTACAGTATGCAGGAAATGTGAGATTTCAGTAAATAATGGGCAGCTATAGAGTGAATATTGAGAACAAATAATTGGTTGAAATCTAGTATATCAAACTTGGTGCAAAAACTAACATATCGTATGCACTTGTGGTTCACTGGCCAATTTAAAACTGTATGCTTTTATAACTTTCAAAAATGAACGCGAAACATGAGGCTGCTTTTCAAATATCTTTTTTTCTTTTGCTAGCCACAGCGCCGAGCTGGTGCCCCAGCTTTAGGCGCTCTGGCAAGCCGAAGATGCCACCCACATACTCCTGCCGTCACCTGCAGCACCACGACTACTATCATTGTCGAGTGAGGGCGTGAAACTGCCGGACACCTTACAATAAAGCTTGTGCTATCTTTTTCTTTCACTCTCTCTCGTTTGCCTTAGCGCTACGTTTGCTGTTGAATAGAAGTTGCACTGTTAGCAGCCTTTGGAGTAGGGTGCTCTAAATGTAGTAACTTCTTTGTAGCTTGTTGAGAGTGACTGATTAACATTCGCGGGGCCTTAGATGCGGTGTGGGGTATGTTCTTCTGTTTGGCTAATGGCTCTTAAGAGAGCCAGCAAATGTATCAGGGACGCTGTCCGTTTTCCATCGTATATAAGCTAGGGACGTCACTACCCCACTTGTTGTGGGACCTGTATCACAATGGACGATATCCCCTAACCTGTGTTGAAACAGAGAGACCCGATTATAGAGTGAGACCCTTGACTAGCAGCTTAATTTAGTGAACACGACTCGGCAGGCCACCAGGACTTACAGTTTTTTAAACGAGTACGCCCTGCACAATGCGTGCAGGCGATTCGCTTTCCAGTTGAATCAGCCTGTATCGCTATCATGAATTCATATAGGCTCACAAAAACCCTTTTGTGAGGCCATTCGGTTGGCGCGATGATATCACGGATGCGTTATAAAGCAGTCATATAGAGTTTTCTTCACTACACTTATGCACCTTGCCAAGGCCCCAGTTATGTCACACCGAAATGTGTTTGCTTTTATGGAAATAATTGTGTGACAGTGCTTGCGTGCGTCAAGGTTTCTTGAATTTCGTACTGTTCTAAAACCCGTAGAGCAGACTTCGAGTGATGCGATCATGAACTCATCATGAAATTGTACCAAAATTGACCGACGAATCAAATGCATCGCAATGAAAAACTTAAACTCACTTGTCCAGGTGTATCGATACTATGGTATACGATGCAAATAGTTCAACCAGTAACGTAAGTTCTTGCATGGGCAATGGCAAAGATGTTTTCTTCGCAGGTGCGAATGAATGAGTCCATTCGATGGCGGCTTTAGGCAACTGCTTCAGCGGCGCGAACCCGTGTAATTCACGTAAGTGTCGAGACTCTGCTGAGGCAAATGTTTTAGCAAGAGGCTGAGCATCGGATATGATACATCTGAAGTGGAGTTAGAAAAAAATTGATTGGGAACATGTCGTACTATGATGAATTGAAGGCTGCGAAAAGAACGCCTATAGTGTGAAAAATTCGTTCAGCGGCAGAATGAGTTGATCGATGGTTGCCTTCTGCAGCGCTAGTGGTTGATAGACCTTCAATCATGCAGCGCTCATTCAATTCAGCCCTAAACCGCTCCAAGTCAAAGACGAGGCAGCAGTTTCTTGCTTTTCCTACCCTTCCAACGAGCGCTGTGTGCTCCTTGTTGCTTATTTTTTTATAAAGCGAAGGTACAATGTCTGCACGAAGCCTCGAGCCTGTCAGGATTTTGCACTTGTCGGCTACAAGCTGTTCTTTTTGCTAGCGCAGTTGAAAACGCACAACATGAAATGAAATCAGCTAATCACGCACGACAGCCACGTGAGACAAGCAAAAACTAGCTATAGCGACTGCATGGCAGAGCAGGCTAGGATACAATTTACAATTCGTAGTTCTCGAATATGAACCAATTGAGAGTATGTACCTCAATTCATGCTCTCAGTAGTGCGCAAAAATGATGAGAAACGTCATGAGAGCACAATGCAGTCATTGTTTTGTACTTCTAGAGGCTGTCTAAAGGCCTTTTAACGCCAATCTGTCATTGGCTAGCTCGTGCCGCAGTAGTAGTAGTAGTCGTAGTAGTAGAAGTAGTAGTAGTAGAAGGTATCCAGAAAAAAACGCATCAGCTGAGCCGGCAGGTGACGCGATATAGCTTTTGCCAAATAGATTTAGGTGGGCTCATATAAGCAAACGGGGGTTAAGGATATAATATTTGAAACCAAGAAGAGGAAATGGGCTGGGCATGTAGTGCGTAGACAGGACAATCGCTTGTCATTAAGGGTTACTAACTGGATTCCCAGAGAAGGAAAGCGGGTTAGGGGGTGATAGAAGGTTAAGTGGACAGATGAGATTAGGAAGTTTGCGGGTATAAATTGGCAGCAACAAGCACAGGGCCAAATAACTGGCGGAACATAAGAGAGGCCTTTGTCCTGCAGTGTACGTAGTCAGGCTGATGATGATGATGATGATGATGATGATGATGATGATGATGATGATTTAAACCTACAGGTCAATTCACGTCCCCTTATCTCACCCCTGAGTCATATACACCCGCTCATTTTCCGATCACATGTGACATCGCTAATCAACCGCGTAGACTCGCGCGTATAGACGTCGCCATGATGAAAGCACCGTGTGGTGAGCTTGCTAAGTGAAGGTCAAGAGCTAGCCGCCACCCATTGATAGTGTGTACCACGACTCTGAAATGCCAGCTT